AACTATTTGGCGGAGCGACCAAAGGTCAACCAAGCCCACAGTGAAATGGCCAACGTAACCCGGATATACAAAGTGATGGATGACACTATAAAATCGTTAACCGCGAGTCATTCAACACTATACAGCACTTGTTTTCACCAGCTTCCTCATAGCGAACAACAAACAAAACCGAGAGCAGGCGACAAAGCATAGATTGATGATGAAAGCTGCCAGAGGCAGTTGGCAATTATGATGTGTTTTTCTACTAATCCAACAAAGCAAAGCCACAGCAGCAGCAGCAAGAACGAGTGACAAGTCGGACCCCAAAAACGAGTCATCAAATGATAATGAGGAAAAGATTGGAACTGAAGCAGAGGAAGAATCATAGGTCTTGCCAACAATCTACCGCCACTGCTGAAATGAACGAGCCGGATACCCGAGTCAGTGTTGCCAGCAAGGGAATAATTTTATGTTACCATCTCCTTTCTCGTTGGTTTCAACAATCAGCATGGACGCTGTCGTTCACTGTAAAGGCTGAACAAAATGAGTACATCTAAATTTCAAGGCAACAAAGCGGATGAAGGCAAACTCTTGCCAGTAATAGCAATGAGGTTGTTTTGTCATCTTCTAGCTGGCTTCTTGCAAATCAGCATTGGCGTTCTCGTCAAGTGGGCAGAGTGAAAGAAATGAGAACTGGGCTTTGATGCAAACTGTGTGAGATATTAGGGAAGTGCAGCATATGAAGGTAATTGTGACTGTAGCTGATTCAAAAGGAAAGTTTCAGGGGCAGGAGCAGCAGCAATTGCTTCTTGGGGACAATTCTCCAATGATTGATACACCTACAAACCAGCATGCCTCCTCCAAGGAGCTCTGAAAGATGATACATGGAGGAGTAATGAGGAGTGTGACTGCTTGTACAACATCTTGCCTGGCAAATCAAAGATGAGATGATGGCTGCTGAAAGATTGCTCTGCAGCACTGGTTGTTCCATCAGGAGTAATAATGAGCAGGTTTCCAGTTGTATCTAGGCAGTCATTTCCCCCTATGCCATCCCAGAACTAGGTAAAATACAAAATATTAACATTCTAGTACAAAACTCAATATAGTTCTAAGCCAGTGTAGAGTTTGATTGTCATGGTGGTCAGGTTTTTGTGTTTGACAATCGTCATCTGCACTGCGTTCACACAAGCGAGTGTTTAGCGTGGAAGTACTTTGATAGGTCCAAATCCATGTAAAAAACATCACGTTAAACACGGTAATAGCACCGCACTGTTGCCAGTTTGGATCACCATCAAGAAAATGTCGATAGAGGAGTCACTGGTATTGGGAGCCTCATTACTGATCTGGAGGATCTACAAGAACCGCAAGAAGAAGAGACACTTGATCTGGGCAAACATATGAACAAGCTGCAATATCCGGGCTGAACCTTTCTCAAGTTCCAAAGAAACCAGGAGAATGGCCTTCGAGCAGGAGTGGCAGTTCTGCCAATAAGAACAAGAACTCAGTTGCAACAAGACGCAAGCATCGAGAGAGGGAAATGGAACTGTTGAAGGACAAATTGAAATCTAGTATTAGTACCAAAGAAGAAAGTCACAGTACTAAATACAGTAAAGCTGTCCTTGAAGCACAGCACAATCTATGTTTCCAACAGATTGGGAATGAGATGAAAGCTGATTATGAAGAGCAAGACGCTATTCTGATTGCTCGTTGCATGATGCAGAACAAGGCCAAGTTCCATTCTGATGAAGGTCTCAACTTCATTCAACAGTATTACATCAACCAAGGACTAAGGAATTGAGACAAATGCTCCTGAGAGATTGTTTTACTCCCAAATTTGTGAAAGACATGACCGCGTCTGAGCAAAAGAAAGCCCAATCAGCGATGATGTTACTCGCGGAAAAGCAATTCGAAAAGACAATTAAAGGTCGCCTAGTATACCGAGGTGATGGAACTCGTGAACGGTTATCAGGAGAGGTCATTGCAAGTCCAACTGCTTTGCAAGAAGCAATCACCACTACTTGTGTTATTGATGCACACAAAGGTAGAGACATAATGATGATGGATGTACCTAACGCGCTTTCATTCAAACATATGCCTGAAGCAAAGGAAGGAGGAGATTGCATCTACATGAAAATCACTGGCATGATGGTCAAGATATTGATTGACATGGCCCCAGAGTATTGCAAATACGTTGTATTAGCAAACAGAAAGCGAGTAATCTATGTGCGGGTACTACGTGCTATATATGGGATGTTGCAATTGAGCCTGATTTGAAGGCAAAGGGATTTGTTTTCAATCCGTATGACCTGTGTGTTGCTAACGAAGGTATTGATGAAAAACAACAAACTATCAGGTTATATGTTGTCCATCTTATGTTCAGTCATATGGATCCAAAGGTAAATGACAAATTTGCTAAATGGTTGAACATGAGATGTGGTTCAATCAAGCTGTGCACAGTCATCAGAGGAAAGATGCACAGATATCTTGGAATGACTTTGCATTTCTTTGTGAAAGGAAAACTCAAGATCCGCATGGACGACTATGTCAAGAACATTTTGGATGATTTTCCTATCAAGTTCAACAAGGATTCAAAGCAGGAAACACCAGCTGGTAACAATTTACTGGAAGCTGGTATAGCTAAGTTGCTCAGTGCTGAGTACCGTCAGATCTTTCATACTACTGTTACAAGGGGACTTTATGTCTCTAAGAGAGCTCGTTTGGATATCCATCCAAAGATTACTATTCTTGCCTTGAGAGTTCGAGAACCTACAGAGTCTGATTGGAAGAAGTGTGTTCGCATGATGCTATATTTGTTTTGTAAATTGTTGTATCACCTGACACTAAAGTGCAATTCTACTGGAAGAGAATGGTCACAAGAGTGCTGGCAAAAGCAGCTGAGTTATCAATATTTGTTATTTCTTTATCACAGATCGAGTGGAATATGATTGCGGATTTCATGACCAACCAACCCATTGCAAGCTGAGAAATTTTGCAAGTTCAGAGATCTGATTCTTGGTCCCCAGGACTAGGTCAGACAAGTATTTATATGTTCAAAATGAAAATACAAAGCAAAATAAACAATGAATGAGAGCATGTCCCCTTGCTGCCAATGGTGATTGTCAGAATGGCAGGAGTGTGTTGGGATATGATGAAATATGAGTTTTTACGTTTGTTGAAAAACTATTCAAGTAAGCACAATTGGATATCCACATGGAAAGGGAATGACCCTATACAAGTGGAATGTTGATGTTGTGTACGATGCAGTAGGGAATATTACCAAATGTCCCTTCAATTCTGTAAACAAGGGATTTCCCAAAAGAAAATTTGTTGAACTCACTTTTGTGCTTGAATCATCAATTCAAGCCAAACATTAATCAACTAGGAACAATTTCACTCAAAGTATACCTAATACAGGAGAACTAGTATTATTGTGGAAGTGTTGTACAGTCAATTAATAATTTAGATTGCAGAGAGTTTGTTCTGAGCGCTAAAGGCACTCACGATAGAGAACAGTCTGCTTATTTCTAACATCCATAATACATTATAACAGTACACACGGCGTTATGGGATTGACAACAGCAACACAATGAAAAGTCTTCAGCAACATCCTCATTAATGAATTGTTTTTTATTCAAGAAAGAAGAATCGCATGAATATCCTTCATCTTTCCATGATTCATCTGTTTGCAGTAGGAATTAAACTGAAGCTTTTTCAGACTATGTCATCATGCTATTCAAACAATAAGAGTTGTACTATCCAACACAAATCAATCTTCTTGGCGGTTGTCATTGTCCTTGCTCAGGGCATTGTTGTCTTTTTTATCTGCTGTGATTGCCAACGGGTATGATGATGGGTATGATGAAATAATGGCGGTACCCAGTCATCTTCACCGCAATTACAACTACCGGTACAATTCACCAATGAGACTTGGAGTAAATGGGAACAAAAGGATTGAGCCAATAACACGGTGCTCTTGGACCAACTCAAGAAGACGCCCCTCTATGGGAGTAATACTGCTACGGATAATGATTGTGGCGACGATGATGGTTCATCCAGAATTATGCACCAGTGTGATGCGGATTTTCTAAGAGACTATGTGTAGATGACATTGCCAGCAATGGAATTTCCTCCTGTCACCTGATTGCAATTGGCCACAGAAAATGCAAGAGTTGAAGTATCCTTGGATGAGTGATAATAATAGTGCATCATCATCATGCCCATTGGTCCACTTTTCCTCCACCCAGGCCTGCCAACTATTGAAAGATCATCACATCATCACTTCAACTTCTATCCAAGAAGACCAAGAAGAATATTGCCATCACCAAAAAAGATAAGATGCCATGACTGATCAACATATCATTGATTGAGATAATGATTTCAAAATGAACCCGGTTACAAAATCTGAAAATAATAATAAAGCACATATTTCTCCTTTCAAAAAATCATGCCAATAGGATGCATGATACTGCTGAAGCGTCATTGCTGCATTGCTGTCGATGTCGAGCATTCCTTAATGACCTCTTCTTCAGAAAAGCAGATACTGATTAATGATGATGCATGATGATATCAGCATTATGCTGATGGCAGCAGATGATGATGATGATGACTGAAAAAATTCTTTGTCCGTGTGCGTGCGATGTGTTTCCATGCAACGCGTGTATTAAAATATGATGTCACAAAAACAGCGGACCGCACAATACAGAAAATCAGGGAAAAATCAAAAGTGTTGATGGTGGTGATATCGAGCAATGTTTATTCCAAGGATAAGATGAGTATGATGGTCCAATACTAATAAGAGAGGATAGGCACTATAAGCTCTGCTTCTTGAATCTGTTCTTTATCTGATATCACAACAAACTCATTGAGGTTCATCAAAGGAGAGCTGGACCGCTAGTCTTCTTTGCTGAATAGATTTATGTTTCATATTATTTTATCACAATGACACACCGGTGATGTGTGGGATTCTTGCCTGGATATCTTTGAATAATCAATAAAAACATCTGTTGATATATTTGTTGATTTTAAATGCATTCGTAGCAAAATGGACCTGGTGGAACCGCAGACATGTTGGCACTGCTTTTCACTGGACAGCCCGAGCGGCCAAACATTGTATTCCCAAAAGGCTCATCAATAATGACACTGGGTGAAAGTATCGCTCCCCAACTGCAAATATTATGATTGAAAGATGTTCTGTGGAACAGTCGACTGATGTCCGTCACAGATGACACGTCCCATGATGCAGGGTTAAAGTTAATTCTGCTGGCCCTGTGGAAAAAACTGCTCATGCTTTGAACAGATGAAACATTCCATGATGATAAGTCAGATTGAAAGGCGTATGCGTCACTGAACATTGATGCCATGTTGGTCACTGAAGAAACGTCCCATGACGACAAATCTTGATTGAAAACCTTTGCCTTAAAGAACATACCACCCATATCGACAACATTCGAAACATCCCATGTTGATAACGGTCGATTGAAAGCGTATGCTTCGGCGAACATACCATACAACCTTGAAGAACCCCCCATTCTGGTTACCGCAGAAACGTCCCACGATGATATGTCTCCATTGAAAACGGTTGCATATGCGAACATTCCACTCATGTTAGTTACAGATGAAACATCCCAGGATGGCAAGTTTTGATTGAACTGGTGCGCGCGCTCAAACATAAACTCCATGTTTGTCACCGATGAAACCTCCCATGACGACAAGTCCTGATTGAATGATGATGCAAAGCGGAACATTTTTGCCATATTGGTGATTGATGAAACATCCCAGTTTGAAATATCCTCGTTGAAGGTACCTCTACTCTCAAAGAGGTTTGCCATGCTGGTCACACCAACACCAAAACACCAGTCCCCGATCGGTCCATATGAGCTCTCGACAGATGCCTTTAGACCTGAATCAAACCAATTGTGGACAGCGGTGGAAAGCTCAGTGTTGGTTTGAAAACATGGATCAAAAATGGATGGAGACTGCGAGACGTCGACTGATGGAGAGACAGATGTCATCAAGCTTGGCTTCGTTGATGGCTGGCTAGATGGATTCATGCTTGCCTCAATTGATGGATTGGAGGACAACGCCATACTCGGAATGAAAGATGGATCAGAAGATGGCACTTCACTTGCAATGAAAGAGGGAGCCGCACTGGTTGCAGCAGATGGCATTGTGGATGGTGCAATTGACGGCGGAAGTGCTGGACCAGCGACAGGCACCAACGTTGGTGACACGGAAGGTAGCAATGAAAGCTGTAGACTTTGAGTTGCACTGGGAGCAACCGATGACACTGTGGATGGTATTGCAGATGGTGTGGTTGATGGTGTGGTTGATGGTGTGGTTGATGGTGAGAGCGTTGGGCCAGCCACAGGTGCCCGTGTTGGTGAGAAAGAGGAAAGAGATGAAGGCCTTAAGCTTGGAGTGTCTGATGGTGCAACAGTCGGTCGTGGAGACGGGGGAGGTGTTGGACCAGAAACGGGAGCCAAGGTTGGATACTCAGACAGGGACTTGGATGGCGAGCTGGATGGAACCAAACTTGGAACCGAGCTTGGAAAGAATTCATCCATGGGTACTACTGTTGGAGTAGCAGAAGAATGTACCGGCATTGTGATTAAAGCGACTCTGACAGCGAAAAAAGGATATTTCAATCCCAGTGAATCAACCAAGTTCTGATCCACATCAATTTGTTTAATCAAATCGTCCTTGGCTTCTGAGATCAACCTGTAAATAGCAAGTACTCCGATAGGCCCCTTCAAGAAGACAGAAAGCTGTACAAGAACTCTGTGACATTGTTCGGCAAATCTTGTTTCCGTACAGACGTCTTCCACTGGATTCCCCTGTACAAAGGCATCGGCAATCACAAAGCGATTTTTGCCAAGATTATCACCAAGGGTAAGGTGTCTCTGGTTTGAAAGTATATCCTGGATCAACAAAGATGATCCTTCGCTTCGTAGCTTTCGAGTAAACACACCACCACCATTGCTGGAGCACCCAAGCAACGAGGGAGCTAACTTCTCTTGCAATGCCTTCAAGAGTTCGGAGACTTGGTTGTCATTTATATCATCTTGCGTTGACAAAGTGACATCCATGACGAGATCAAAATCAAACTGATCCAATTCTGCTCTTTCTGCAGACGTGGAACGGTTCTGAGCAACGGCAATGCAGTCTTCAGAACTTGGCGGATCATATAGCTGCTGTGTGATGGTAGGTGTACTTGAAGGCATAGCTGTATCGGAATTGAATACAAGTTTGGATGGCATTGTGGAAGGGGATGTGGTTGGTGATAAGAGATCGACTTTTTCCAAGCGCACAGCGGAGAATGGGAAATCCAATCCCAATGAAGGCTTCAAGTTCTCATCGTCATAGCCATCAACCAATTGATCCTCGACCTCGAATATCAAATCGGTGATATAAGAGAGTTGGATGGGCCCCTTTAAAAAAATAGATAGGTCAAAGAAGACTCTGTGACATTGTCCAGGGAAATCTGTTTCGGTACAGTCATCGTCCACCGGTAATCCGTGCACAAAGGCATTGGCAATCACATAGCGATTGCCACCCAGACTATCACCAAGGGCAAGAATGTTCAGACTGGGGCAGCCAAGGAGCAGAGGAACAAGCTTATCTTGGATGGCCATTTGCAGTGCAAAGACCTGTTCGTCAGAAATCTCAAAAGCTTGCGTTCCCAAAGTAACATCTACATAAAGACCAAAAGCATATTGATCCAATGCTTCCCGTTCTGCAGATGTGGTTCGATTTTGAGCAACGGCAATACAATCCTCAGAACTTGGTGGGTCGTAGATCTGTTCGACGATTGAAGGAGAGTTGGATGGAGATTGTGCGACAATTTCATCCTTCTTGAGAGCAAAGTAGGCACCGACTCCCGCAGCAATCAAAATTATAGCACAAACAACAGCAATATGGATCTGCTTGTTTCTTCGCTTCTGCTGTCTCTTTCTCTCCTCTTCTACTGTTTCTCGTTCGGCTCTCTCGTTCAAAAGTCCCTGGTCAAGTTCTTCGATTTCTTGTTGACGCATCATCCGTTCCATTTGTCGAACGTCATCTGTGCTATCATCAGCGTCAACAGTCACTGCCTCAATTTCGAGTTCAGGCTCACGCCTGGAAGTTGCAGCCCGATCGTCTTTTCTTCGATGACGAGCTGACATGAGATCTGAAGGAATAGCACCTGGCTTGCTTGACTTGGAATTGCTTCGATCCTTGCTTTGTGCACCCGAATTCTTTCTAGAATTAGAAGGAACTGCCCCTGGCTTGGATGCCTTTGAATTGCTGTTTTCCTTTCGTCTCTCGCCAGCATTTCTGGAAGCTTTCTCGGGAATTGCACCTGGCTTGGAAGCCTTCTTTTCAGAAGCTGTACTAGATTTTTGAGGGGTTGCGCCTCGCTTATTGGATTCCTTTGCATGATTGTGTCGTTCCTTTCGTCGCTCACCGGAACTCTTGTTGTCACTTTCAGAAAAAGCACCAGGCTTGGTTGCCCGGCTACTATCACCTTTTCGTTTCTTTTCAGAAGAGTAATCTTTCTTGGGTGATCTGGATCTATGGGCAGATGGTCTACGGCCCGATGATCGATGAGACCTGAGCTTGTCTTGTTCACTCCGCTCGGAATCCGACATCTTGGACGATCTGCTGCGAGCGGATCGATGTCGGTGAGACCGATCACTCAATGCCAAATTGTCATCGTCAAGAGAATTTGAACGAGATCTCGAGTGGTGGGAATGCGAGCTATGCCTTGATTTGCGCGACGATGGGCTACTTCGTCTCTTCAGACTGCTTTTCGACCCGCCACTTTTAGACTTCTGTTTGTAAGACGAGGCCGAAGACGACAGATCTCCAACAACGACACTTTTTCCCTCATCATGATTCTCATCGTCTGTGTGCCCTTCTATAATGGGGAGATCAGGAGCAGTGATGATGTTGGATCCTTCATCCGCGCATTGAGAGACGCTCGAAACCGGCGAGGAAAGATCTCCTACCGGTACCATGGTGAGATCATTAGCTTTTTGATGATCTCTTTCGTTCCCAAGCGAAGAATTCATCATATCCGTGATGTCGATGGTGGTACGCCTTTGGTGTCACAACAAACGTTATAAGACTCTCTCAGAAAGTGCTGACAAGAGAGTTAGGCCTAAAGCTGACGGGAGGATATGTGTGCTGCAGTAGTGCTTCAGAGTGCTGTTGGCTTCGGTTCCCATGAAAAATGATTCTGTCCATGACAGATGTCAACGAATGCGCGACTCTTGATCACAGATAAATAAGCCCCGATTCTTCACGAAAAAGGCACCAAAAAGTCCCCGATTTCGGCAAGAATCTTAAAAAATATATCAAATTGGTTTTTTAAGAATACGTCTCATTTTACGGCATTTTACAGAGTCTTCCGGCATTTTTCTTTCCGATTACGATAGTTTGCTCAAAGTAATAATGCGATTTGCGGTTCGAGCTTTTTCAGTGCATTTTCTACGGACGACCTACAGTAGTTGATTCGAGTCCTATCGCGCACCAACGTGCACACAGACGCACACGTTGACACCTTTCTTCGATGATGCATCATCTCATCGTTACATATTGAATATGCGTCATCAATTTTTCCATCACGACCGATGCACCCACCGCAAGAAAATGGTGCAGGAAAGAGTTTCGTCAATATCGATATTCTCTTTCTTATTTCTATCTGGTCACGCCATGTCTGTGAGCTTCCACATACGCCAAGATTGCAGAATATCTCGAGTCAAGAGGTATGGCGAGCTCAATTAGCATCCATACTATGTCGCAGCTAGGTACGGTATCGGCGAAGTGCTGCATTCCACCTGGTCAGGAAAAACGCTGCGAACGGAGGACGAGACCCCTCAACATTCATCCAAATTGCTGCTTATATAGGGTATTTTTGAAAGCCACCCGACCATGGCCTAGACAGGGTCTGGAACCTTCCCAAAAACGCGATTTAGCAGGTAAATTGTCATGTCTTTTGCCTCCCAAAACTGGATTTCTTGTGATGATGGCCAAAATTCTTCTTCCTTCTTGTATTATCATGCTGTCATTGTCTTATGGTACCTTTAGGATGATATGATGGCTTGGGATGGAAGGAATTGACGTTGAAGAGTTTCATCGACACATACTGGTTCTTGGCTGATGATCTCCGCTCATTCAAAGAACGGTCCCAGATTGCATTCCAGTCACCTTGTTGGCATCCACACGACACAATATGACCCATAGAAATACTTGCCAGAATATGATCGACTATCAAAAGCAACTACAATCAGCCGAATAATGCGGAAACTAGAGTCCCTGGACCGATTCTGAAACGTCAACATGTCATGGAAAAATAGAGCTTGGATGGTAGTGGAGACCCCTATTTCGTCCCATTGCTGTATACTCCCGCCACGACATGCCCAAGACGGATCATTTGAAGCACTAGCGACTACAATCTACCAAATAACGCAAAAACTACTAGAGTCCCTAGACCGATTCTTGTTGGAATATTGGGCTCTCAGTTGACGTCCTGACGCACAGACGCCTTCACTACTCCGCTAGCTGGGACTCCAGCCACCACTGAAAATCGTTGCTCTAGCTCTCTCCGAATCTCATTAGCTCTCTTAGAGATTCGATGCAGCAACTCTTTCCAAGTAGTTTCAAGTAGTGATAATCTCACAAGTTATTAATTTGATTACTTATCAACCAACTTTGTATAAAACTACCTTTATTGATTCAAAGCCCAATCCAGAGGCCTTGCTCCTGTGGAGCCGTCTCAGGATTTTAACACGCTCCCTCTGCGAGTCTAAAGGGCCCATTGCATGGTACAAAGTACTCGAAACGGCCAACTGAATCAAGATCCGTACATCCCTTGTCGCCGTCGAAGAAACAACCAAGTTCAGAACATGGCTGACAATCCTCCTCAGGGAGGCAACGACCCAGACCCAGAAGTTGTGGAAGAAAACCAACAACAACCTGCGCTAGCAGGCAATGCTGATGAAGCCGCGCAAGCCAATCAACAAGGCGGACAACAGGCCAACCCTCCGGTTCCCGATCTCCTAAACAAATTGATCGCACCAGCAGCCATCGCGGCAAACCCATTCAATCAACAAGGTCAGCAACAAGGTCAGCAACAAGGTCAGCAACAAGGTCAGCAACAAGGTCAGAATGTCGCCGGTCAACCGCAAGGTCTACTAGGGCAGCTATTGGCTCATCCACAAGGAATGAATCTACTAGGTCAGCTCATCACAAGTGCGACCAATCCGAATGCGACCAATCCGACTACCCATACTCCTCAGTATGGAACTTTTCCATTGACTTCAGGAACTACTCCTATCGACATTGGAACTTCCTACGGCATCAAACAGTACTCAAAGGCAGTAGATTTGCTCTACTCTAGTGGTGAAGACAAGTTCGATTTGCAACCAGCAAGACTACTAAATTTTATCGAGAGAATCCAAACTAGAGCCCTTGAGGCGGGATGGACCATCATCTTCCAGCTTCAAAACTCTGCAAGAAATAACGCTACTGATGACTTCCTGCAACTTCATGGACAGATCTCTATTGAAGATGTTCAATGCCATGAGCAAGCCTACCTTGTTCAAGCTGACAGTCGCAGCAAGCTCTCCACTTGCAGTTCTGCATCTACAAGTCGCTCATGGAATCTGCCCAAGCTAAAGTCTTACTGGACAAAAATCTCTTCACCATCAATGGAATGAGAGGCGTATTGGCATATCTGAAGGTGGTCCTTCTGAGGACAACTTCCGCTAGTAACTCCAATGTGAACCACATCCGACGTCAACTTGCAAAACTTCCCGAATACATGACCAAGGTTGGATCAAACGTTGAAAAGTTCAATCTTCACGTTTCCAAACAACTTGACAACCTTGCCCACTATGGAGGGGAGTCCAAAGATATCCTGATCCACCTGTTCGAAGGGTACAAGGCTGCATCTGACAAGCCATTTGTGTCATACATTGAGAGAAAAGAAGAAAAACATGAGGACAACTCCGAGACCACCAATGAACCCAAGCTCATGCAGGACGCCAAAAACTATTACAAGAATTGTGTTCGTGATCAAACCTGGAATTGCCCTGATGAAAACCAACAGGCTATCCTCTTGCTGAAGGCCGAGTTCAAGCAAATCAAAAACTCCAAGAAGTCTGAAAGTGGAAAGAAGAAGGACAATGACAAGAAGTCCGGAGGTGGCAAGAATAAAGGCAGGGGCAAAAACAACAATAAGCAAAAATCTTTGATTGTACTGCTCCAAAAGCAGAAGATAAACTTAAAGCAAAGCATGTTGACAATGACTCCAAGCCCTGGTATTTGTGTGAAGCCCTCAAGAAATACTGCTGCCACACTCCGGATCAATGCAATCAAGATCAAAACAAAAACAAGAAAAAGAACAAGATCAAGCTCAGAGCCGCCATGGCCAAGCATTACGCCCCGTCCGGCTCCGATACAGATGAAGAATGAGAGCTCCTCAAGAGCATTCAAGGGTGGATTGTTGTTTGGCCGTGGCTTTGGTGGGGTCTGCTGTCTCAGTGGATCGCTAATTGGTGGAAATGCCTTCCGCTCTGCCTCCTTGCCACAGCTGTAACACTTTGTGTTGTACTTTTTGGATGGCTCCGTGATGACTCTGTGCCATACTATGTTCCCAAATCTCAAAGGTGGACACGGTACGCATGGATGAGAAAGTGGGTCAGATACAAGTGGGTTCAACTAGCCAAGAAGTTTGGACTCACAGGAAGAAAATGGAATAAAAAGTTCAGGAAACGTTCCTCTCAAAACTTGCGTGTCCGAATCAAGCTCCACTGACAGCTCGGGACTCGCAAGTCTAGCTATCAGTAGATGTCTTATAATTGTATGTCTCGCATCCAACGCTCTCAAATCCTGCGAGAAATCCAACGAGCGTTCATTGCCAACTTGGTATTGACACACCGCACTCAGTCAGAGGGAGGCACACACCATCCAAATCGCTTTGACACCGATTCACTGCCAATCGGCATCAACAACCGCTGCTCCTTCTGCATCTCTGACAAGGAGTACCACTTCGAAGATCTACAAAAAACACAGCATGTCAGAAGAAAGATGGCGGATTATGGCTCACTCAGCCTCACCTCATCAATCAGATTCTAGAGACCTTGCGACTCAAGCAAAAGGACAAACCAATCAACAATTTGAACTCTCGAGACACTCCAATGATCCATTCCAGAATCCTTCAAAAGGAAGCAGACTCCCCGGAATTTGACAATCAATTCAATTACCGATCAGTCATTGGGAAAATTGCCTACCTGGAGAAAGGAACAAGGCCGGAACTTGCATATGCATGTCACCAGTGCAGCAGATTTTCATCAGCACCAAAGAAAGCACATGGTGAAGCAATCAAACAAATTGGACGTTACCTTTTAGGCACGGAAGATAAGGGAATGTTCATCAAACCGGACTTGAGAAAATCATTTGAGGTGTATGTTGATGCAGATTTTTGTGGGAAGTGGAACGAACGCTATGGACATGATCCAGACACGGCACGCTCGCGTCATGGCTACGTCATCACGTACGCCGGTGTTCCAATAATTCACAAAAATCAATTACAAACCAAAATTGCTTTGAGCTCTACCAAAAGCAAATACTCTGGTCTCAGTTATGCATTGCGTGAAGCGATTCCCCTCATGAACCTACTCAAGGAAATGAAGAGGCATGGAATCCCTGTCCTGGATCATCGCCCAAAAGTCCATTGCAGAGTCTTTGAAGACAATGGTGGAGCATTGGAAATGGCAAAAATCCACAAGTGGAAACCCAGGACAAACACCTCTGCACAAAACTGCACTACTTTAGGTCATATGTAACAAGGAAGGAGATTACCATTCATCCTATTGATACTGAGGATCAACCAGCTGATATACGGACAAAACCACTGGTTGTGGAACTCTTTAACAAGCATAGGAAATGGTTAATCGGCTGGCAAGCATCTCCCGCTACCTGCAACTAGAGTCCCTGGACCGATTCTGAAACGTCAACATGTCATGGAAAAATAGAGCTTGGATGGTAGTGGAGACCCCTATTTTGTCCCATTGCTGTATACTCCCGCCACGACATGCCCAAGACGGATCATTTGAAGCACTAGCGACTACAATCTACCAAATAACGCAAAAACTACTAGAGTCCCTAGACCGATTCTTGTTGGAATATTGGGCTCTCAGTTGACGTCCTGACGCACAGACGCCTTCACTACTCCGCTAGCTGGGACTCCAGCCACCACTGAAAATCGTTGCTCTAGCTCTCTCCGAATCTCATTAGCTCTCTTAGAGATTCGATGCAGCAACTCTTTCCAAGTAGTTTCAAGTAGTGATAATCTCACAAGTTATTAATTTGATTACTTATCAACCAACTTTGTATAAAACTACCTTTATTGATTCAAAGCCCAATCCAGAGGCCTTGCTCCTGTGGAGCCGTCTCAGGATTTTAACAGATTCTAAAGTGTATCACAGACCATCATGACAAAAAACAACTCGGCAGGCTTGAGACAGCAGCCACTATTGCTGGGACAGTACTTGTTGCAAATATTGGAAGATAATAATGAACAAATTAGTGCTTATTACATCCTCGAATACCATAGCTGTAGCTCGTTTAGTGCCTCCAGTTTCCTGTCTTTTGTCAATCAATTATGCAACAATCCATAATGACTATCCACCATATCTCCTCTATCTTCAAAACTGAAAATTTCTGGCGGTTCCTGTGCCATTTGATACCACGATAATATCCTGTGGAATTTCAAGGTAGAACACATGGTTGGAATGGACATACGCCATCATTGTGGAAATGATGTTTCCTTCACATTATTGGCGAAATACATACATACCGGTAGTCCCAATCAATATTGTGGAAAACTCGTAGCCGTGGTACAATGCGCGTTGTTTGAGCGATGCGATGTGGTTGAGTCGGATTCATAATTTGACTTATTTGACTTGCAAATGACCAAAATTCTGAAACAAGAGGCAAGAGCACCTTCTTGTACAATAAGACCTTGTTTTGATTACAAATCTTGCATTTGAACATCTATTATTTGTTTGATATACATAGAGTAGAGGTGTACGCACTTTCAATTGCAAATTTCGGTACATAATACATGGGACTTTGAAACATTCATGCAAGCAACCTGAAATTCTTAGGAAGGGGGCAGCAGGAAAGCAGAGAAAGTAATCTCATTTCTGCCTTGGCAGTGCTAAACAGCACCCTATAGTGATAACTTTTGTTGGGGTGCAACCGTGTCTGGATACCAACACATTGACTAGGATAGATTCTTGGTCACTTCTGGATTGCATGCCAAATTGACCACCACGGTCAATTAGGTGCACTTCAATCACTTTGACCTTGAAATATCCCATTCCAAGAAGCCAAAACCTTCTTAGATATACCCATGGACGACAAATACCTGTTCGAACAAAGAAGATTGAAGAAACTAGGCCAACAATTCGACAATTTCAGATGTACCTCTTTTCTGGCCCCATTTTGGCCCCTGTCTGCTTGATCTAGACCGAATCTTTGACTGGGTCCCAAAAATTATCAATTGTAGGTATCCATGGAAGGTCCTGATGTATTGTTGAATGGATAGCTGTCGCCGTGGCGGCCAAGGGGACCTTCATCTGATTTTGACAAATTTTGCCAAATGATGGACTCAGTTGAGAATCTGCACAAAGGCACCCTGATATCGAACACCACACGATTCCAAGGTCCTCAGTATACCCACAGAAGCATCCTCCGCCAAAAATATGAAACTCTTTGTGCCATGGGACTCTGTGGTGTCCCAAAACCCTGCGAAAACTTCTTTTTGGACGTTGCTGGTAGGCTTCAGCGATCATTTTTGGAACCAAAGAAACCAATGAGATCAGATCACTTCAAAGGAACAGGGTAGCTAATGTCAATTTACAGGTGCGGTTAGCTACGCATCGACTTTCTTGTAGTGGGTGATGAATACAGGTGCCTCAGAACTTACCACGACTGTGGTGAAATCAAATCCATCTGCCTTTTTGGTAGATTTTCACTATTTAGAATCATCGGGCATTTTGCTTCTTTGGTATCTTTAGAAGCGTATTCTGCAAAAAAAGGGATGCTCCATGTTTTCTTGATGTCAAAAAGGGGTTCAAAGGTTGATGATGGAAATGATAATTTGTTGTTTTGATTGTATCAACAAAAATCTACGAAGGCGCGCACAAAATGTGAAAGTACTTTGTTAGACCAATTGTGTGACATGGCCTACTATAGTTCTATGTATTCTACTTCGTGTTTCAGAGTTTTGATTCAGACAAATTATTCATATTATGGCTGATGGGAAAGAATGATACACTCTGCTTTTGTACTTGTCAATCGTCAATCTTATGTCGTAGTCATCACCAAAAGACTAGAGCAATCGCAAACAAGAGGGGGGGTGGTTGCTATTCTAGTACCTCCAAGTTATAATGATAATTTTTTAGAAATAGCTATCTGCAATGCAAGTTAGGTCTCCTCAATTCAATATCCGTGGCTTGGGTGAATGAATGACTTTTGTCACAATGGATCCAATAGCTCCATGCTACTACCTCAAAGGTTATATTATCCCCTTGGTTAATGTAATACTATGTTGAATGAAGTTCAGACCTTCTTCATCAGCATCAAACTTGGCCTTGTTCTGCATCATGCAACGAGCGATCAGAATAGCGTCTTGCTCTTCATAGATTGTGCTGTGCTTCAAGGATAGCTTTACTGTCTTTAGTACTGTGACTTCCCAGATTTCAATTTGTTCTTCAACGGTTTCATTTCCCTCTCTTGATGCTTGCGTCATGTCGCAACTCCATTCTTGTTCTTATTGCCAGAACTGCCACACCTGCTTGAAGGCCATTCTCTTAATTTCTTTGGAACTTGAGAAAGGTTCAGCCCTGACATTGCAGCTTGCCCAGACCGAGTGAATTTTGCTACTTGAGGCATTTCAGGCTCAAATACAATCTCTTCTTCTGGTGGTTCTTGTAGATCCTCCAGATCAGTAACGAGGCTTCCAATATCATTGGTTACTCTATCAACATTCTCTTGATGGTGATCTGAATCGGCCACAAAAGATTCTTCCTCTTCATCACCCAAGTCGTTGTCATCTGATTCATAGTCATCATCTCCACAGAATCTGACAGTGAGTTCTGACATATCATACACATCATTGTCTGCATCTGCCAAGAGCTCTTCTCTTTCAAAGTCATGGATATCGTCAAATTGTCCCTGTAGATTGAACTCACATTCATCTTCATCTTCTTCCAAGTAGCCTTGTTCTGTGTCATCCACTCCTACGATTTGATCGCCATTTGAAATGTCTCCAAATCTCTCTTCTTATCAAAGAACTTGACAGAAGTAACACCTTCAGCAGCAGCCCAGGCTTCAACACGCTGGACCACTTGGTTGGTAACGGGTAGTACAATGACCTTGGGGCAAAAAATTTGAGATTGACATTATCAATGATTTGCTGCGGACTGATATGTGATGAGATACTGTCTTTCTGGGGAAAGACATTCAATAGCTCGGCGCCTCAATGTCCAAGACATTCAGTGATCACCTTTGGGAGCACTTTGTAGGGTGATTGTGCAAGAGCTACTCTGACTCTTTCTTTCAGCGTCCTATTGTTTTGCTCATCACAAAAGTGACTTCAACGAATTTCTGGAAGGGAAATCCCTTGTTTACTGAACTCAATCCGACTTCTACTTTCTCTGTGTAATAATACAGAAGATTCACATTAAAAAAACAGCAATATTAGAGGCGATTGAATTGCAGACCTTCTGATATCCTGCTTGGACAAGGCGCCATTGCTGCAGTTGGTGGTGATCCTCCTTCCAATGCTGATCAAGATTATGTGACCTTCATCTTCAGATTGATACCGTCAGAATTTCTAGTCTGCCGACGAGTATTGACAACAGCGATAGTCCCAAGAGACTGAAGAACAAAAAAGCTATACTTCTCATTGAAAAGCGGATGTATGATGCTGGTCATGTCACCTCCTTTTTTAAAAATCATTCACATTTCAGAAATCACACGGGCCACAACAATCCACATGAAACAATCGACTGGATAATATACATACAAGTAAGGATACTTCAAAAACAATGACAGTTATAGCAAAGATCTACCAGGGGTTAGAGCTGGTTGCTTTCCATAGCTACACGAAGACCTTCGAGCTTCTTGAAGCCGAAATCCAAGCTTGACACAGAATCAAACTGTTCGAGGTCTCAAGCAACTATCTCTTCTACGATGGAAGTATGTCTCTCCCAACTCACTCATTTCATTATCCAATCTATCCAGCCATTACATAGACGATGATGAATCCACAAAAGATGCTTACCACAATAGCATTTAGAGGCATGGGGCGGAGCGATTGCTTTCAAACGATACTGTACCTACGAAGGGCCTATGAAGCAAAAAAACATGGATATGAAATCTCCGGTCCTGGTCTTGACGAAAGCCTGAATGAATGAATCAATCAATCAATTATTTGAGGTTGAATCCGTTTTTGTTCAACAGAGTAGTGTTTTAAATAGTCCCAGATATTGCAACAATACAGAGTCCTCCACCAGGTGCACACTTCCGTCAACCACTTGCGTGTTGTAGTCATAGATGCATACCGGTAAACTTTCGTCGACCACTTGATGTAGTGAAAAAGGCATATATACCGACAGAGTGTCAGGAATATGCTACAGTATATATCATCAACGACCGCAGGTGGTAGCAGGAATTAGGGAGGGGTAACGATAAAGAGGAAAAGACGCGGAGAATCTTCCTAGAAGATACCGGTAGGTGCCATCACAAGCAAAACAAGCCTCAGTAAAATATATCATTCAATCAAAAGGAGAATCAAAACTAAAATGAATCTTAAAATCTACATATACAAAGCAGCCATCCTTCATCTGCGTCATGATGCCAGTCACTTACGACAGCCACAGCATTGCAGGAGAATAGCCACCATTCAAAAGTCCCTGCAGGATCAATATAATGCGAACTTGCATCGAACGATTTAAGCATTGACATCCTCGACCTTGTCGGTTTCAGGAGTGGGCACAGCAAGAGTGTCCTTGGCTGGAACGTCGTCCTCTCCTCCGAGCATGCGAGAGCATCCTGGGATGCAGATGAAGAAGGAAAGAACACTAGAGGCGATGATGGTACTTCCCATGATGATGAAGGCGTCCTTGTATTCCAATTCACGGAATCCCATTCCGAAAGCGACGGCTCCAGTGTTTCCTCCGGCTCCGATGATTCCAGAGATGGATCCAGTGGATGGAGGGTCGACGTATGGGACAATTCCGTACGATGATCCCTCGGCGGCTTGGACGAACAAGGAGAAAAAGACCATGACGACAATGGCTCCCTCGAGAGATGCAGTGTTGGCAAAGACCAAAACCAAGCAACCTTCAACAAGAAGCAGGATGGTTTGGGTCCACAAACGTCCACGCATACCGGCCTTGGCGTTGGCCTTATCAGAGAAGAATCCACCAAGACCACGGGCGAACAGGTTCATCCATCCAAAGATGGAAGCAATGGCGGCGGCTTCCTCGGTAGTCAAAGAGAACTTGTCCTTGAAGTAAAGGGCGGCTGCGTTGTTCATGGTCAATTCGACACCGAAGCAGCATGCGTATTGGATGAACAAAACCCAGGTGTTGAAGTTCAAGGCTCCAGAGCGGAAAGAGGCGGCAGCAGACACGTCAGCCATGGCTCCGTGCTTCTTCAACTCGTTGTAGTTACCCTTGGGGGAGTCATCAGAAAAGAAGAACATGGCAACACCAATACCGAAAGCGACAACAGCGGGAACAATGCTGACCCATCTCCAGGCAATCTCGGCTGGGTTGGCCTCGTTTTTGAAGATCTCCTTGAAAAGAGGGAAAAGAGCAGATCCCATGACCAATTGCGTGACACCTCCTCCAAGGTTTCCCCATCCACCGACAAGGGCATTGGCGGTTCCGACGACGTTCTTGGTGAACATTCTAGAAGTCCAGTATTGGCACATGACGAATGTACCTCCGGCGGATCCGATAAAGAGACGGAGGATGGCAAGGCTGGTGGCGCTGGAAACAAGTCCAGTACAGGCGGTAGGGATGGAAGCAAAGCAAAGGACGCTGGTGAAAAGAACGCGGGATCCGACCTTATCACACAAAGGACCAAGGAGGAAACGCATAAAGATGGTTCCACCGACACCGACAATGCTCGAAGTCCAGATCTCCTTCTTGCTAAGTCCGAGAGTGGTACGGATCTCAGAGAGAAGGGGAGCAATGGCAAACCAGATGAAAAAGGCGATGAAGAAACCCAACCACGAAAAGTGGAAGGCTCTCATGTGTGGGCGAGAGAAGTTGCAAAGCTTGATCTCGGTGGCTCTGTCATCTTGGTCGGGGTCGACCTCAAGGGTGTACGAGTCGTACTTCTTCCATTCGGCCTGTCAAATGATGAAAAGAGAGATCGACAGAATTTAATTTGATGTGAGTATATTCATCATGTGTTGAAACGTAGCGGCTTGAATGCTTGAGAGGCTATACTTACAGGAGCGCCAGTATCAACATCAGTTCCACTCATTTTGGTATGTTTTTGTGGCTTTCAATTGTTACTCAAAACAAAATTATGAATCCTAGAATGTGCTGATTGATTACACTTTTTGTATCGAAGTGTCAAAATTCGGTCACGACCTTCCGAAGCAGCTTCAGAAAGTTGGCACCTGAAGTTGTGAAGTCCGGAAAAGTTCGAACGCCAGCCATCCGTTGTATTTCTCCGACCCTTCTGATCGAATTATGTGACAATTGAAGTTGGCATTAAAAACTTCTAAAACACGTCTGACTAGTCGGAGAAAAGGGTTGTATGCCAATAAGCAAACTGGACCAATCGGACACGTATGACATTCGCAGTTCTCCAAATCGACATGACAAGTTCTCAAATTGAACAAGGAAGAAGTGGTCGGCACTGGCTGCTGCTGGAGCTTTGACTCGTTCGATCAACCACGTCCAAAAAATGATGCGATGAAGTTCCCGACCTTGTAAACCGAAAACGAAGTTTTGTGTTCTGGTATACACGTATGTGGAAGCGACGAGAAGAAGATTTCTATCTTGGGTGGTGCATCGGATTGACGCGGGAAAGCAGTATTCATGAAGTACCTTCTGATTCTCTTCTGGGATGATGAAGAGATGATGCTGAAGCTATCATATGTTTCTCGTAATGATTTGTGTCCTTAAGGTTTTCTTCTGACGTAAACCTTGAATTCGACGAGTGACAAGATCAAGGCCAAGACCTACCATGTGATGTGAGGGTTTGAATGTCGGGGATGACGCTCAGAGACTTGCAAGGCGAAGCTGTTTCGGAACCTTCTTCCCTTTGTCGTCAAGAATGATTTTTGATGGTCTTGAATTCCATTTCGATGATTGATTCAATCGACGAGTTAGTCAATTGCATCTGAATATATCTTCCGTCAAGGTGAATTTTGACCATTCTATCATCTGCCATTGCAATGATCTGTTGTGTGTAATATCATCTGGCCAGGCCAGCCAAACCGCTGAATGAATCACAAAGCATTGAAGGCACCATAAGAGCACTTGTCGATTCATGCATTCGTCGTTGTTGAATCCCACACTGAATTTCTGTCATTCAGTTTTGGTTTCGTCGGGAATACTGAAAGATATGATGCTATTGGGGAACTCTGCAGAAATCTTTTGAACCACAACAATCAAACAGTTATTGCCGCTATACTCCTTTGAGATCATAGCTTGCGCCGTGCCAGCATTTCAGTTGCAGGCAAGTCATACCCGCGGTATTCTATTGTTTCATTTTCAAAATGACCATTGTCGTCGATTATCGTCGTCGACAAATGAGCTCACCAGCCATCATATCAGAATAATATTATTGGTGTATGTCGGATGAATGAATGCATCCTGTCCTACTCTATTTCTTGGATCGTCTCAGCAGAGTATATACTATCAGCTGAAGTTTCAGATTGACACCATGATGGTGCTGCAAATATTCTTACGACGGCATTGGCATTGGCATATATATACCTACAAATTGAGCTATGGGATGGGTCGTTGTGAGCCAGTCCAACTCATGTAGTTACAATGGAATATCTGACTTCATCGTCATCCGAGCAGCAGTCATCATTTTCATTCATTGATTGCGGTTGGTTGATTCGATGCATTCATTTGATCAGTCGTCTATCTGCCTACCAATATTGTATTGGCATCAATAGTTAGTATACAATACTCGTCGGCTCAGTATACTATCGACGACGCTCGAGGTTTCCCCCATCCAGTTGATATGTCACCTACTTTAGCTGCTGATCAAGTTCTTGGAGTGATCTATTGAATAATGCATTATAATGATAATATAGTGTCGTACTACTTTAGTAGTCCTGTTGTTGGATTGAAAAGGTGCTTTGACAATTATATTATTTTATTGAATGCGAGAATAATATGAATATATCTACATTGATCCAATGCTTTTATGTAGCCCATGAAACTTATTCCCCCGATTTCTACCGGTATAATAGAAACTAAGAGTCAAGTGATTTGTGGCCAGAGCTTCTATCATAATCTCAAAACGTCTTATGATAGATTTGCCAAGCATAATGTGTCTATACGTCTTGAGTTTCGACTGTATCATTGCTTCCGCATGCCTCCTTTTTCCACAGACTGCCCAGAAGAAGAAAAAAACCATGACTGATGGTGGTGGGATTATGGTCGTCAATATCAGCTACAGTGCCGTGCGGTAGTGTGATTTGTACCATATTGGTCGGCGGGATTGACGATGGAGTCATTCGTCGTCGTCGTCGTCGTCACCTTCGATGATGCCAAATCACCGTTGGCACGTACAGGATTGCACCCAAATGCATCCCGCGAGTGCCGAAACTCGTTGGTTCATTGCTTCACTGTCTTAGTAAATGGCATACTGATTATATATACTGATCATCATGATATGATGGCGATGATAAAATAAACACTTCTGATTTTCTCGGATATGCGGTTGTTGTCAATAATGGACTATGGACTCACTCGAGCGATAGATTTGAGATCGGGTTTTGTAGCCGAGTTCTGCATGCATCCCATAACATCATCCATCATACCGTACATGTAGATCTGTAAGATTTTGCAGATCTCGGCTCTGTCGGGTTCATCATGGCGATGTTTGCCAGCAGAGTTTGCTGTCATGTACTGTATATCATGCTGTGATGGTATGTGTTGTGTCGGTGATGTCAATCATGTTTTTGAGCGATGTTTCGACTTCTTCGACCCAATCAAATCCAATTGGCCAATCAAGATGCAGCAACAATTAAAACCTTTTTGAGGACACACCAATCAGAATCCGTTATTTCCAGTAGGAAATGTACACAGCCTCATGTACCAGGACGCGAGCGTAGACTTTTGGCGTAGAAAATTTGAAATTTCTACATACGTGCGTCCCCCTTACATCATTTTTTATCAATTTGTTAAATAAAAGCCCTTTCTACGCGGACGCGGTAGCTCCTGGTACATTTCAATTTTTTTCTACGAGTTTTGATCTACCGTGTCCTCGTAGAATTCAGTCTGTCCGTCATCAACTCTTCCACGAACCGGTACCATAGGTTCAATGATGACACAGGAAATAAGGACAATGGATTTTGGTTATGTAGTGCTATGACAACCAGCAAGCAAATCAAAATGAAGCAACGTCTTGCGGTAAGCTATTTGAAGTGGTCTCGCTGTGAACTATCGAATCAGCATTCATTGAGCACTCACCGATTGCTTTGAAAGTCTAACTCGACAGTTGTGAAGAATCAATCTAAGTGTGGTTGTGTATCCCAAGTCCACAGAAATCAATCAATACTACTGCAGGACAAAATCATTAGAAATCTATACTGCCGGTATCACGAGCTATAGGAAGTGGTCGGAGAAAAGTCCCACATGTTGGCCAGGATAGAACCATATTCAATATCATGTCATGTTATCATGTCATGTTATGGTCGCGATTTGAGATTGATTCTGAACGATATTGACAGTCTATCAATAAGATCGGCTGCCGGTACCAAAAGTATACCGAGAAAGCTGTCGCATTCATAGCGATACAGAATAAGTCCTTGGGATTGATGAATTTGATTTTGAGCTACCAGCAACATCAGCCAAATGATATCATATCGAAGACGACAGAAGCAAAGTATTCCGCTGCTCCCGAATGAAAATTCGTGGGAGACGGTAGTGCGAGCACTATCAATATGGCCTAAACGTGTGATAAAATAAAGGTTTTATCATTTTATACTGATGTGATGTGATGTGATTGACGAAAGAAAGTGCGGCTCCATTCCAATTCACAGAAATCCATTGGAATCAGTCAGTTAAGCGAGGGCAACGTCGGATGGAAGAAGCCAAAGCGGGAAGGAAACAACCAACAGGATTACACCCTCACACCACCTCCCTTCCGCACATTGTGGACTTGACTTGACTTGACTAGAATGTGATTGTGTGGGTGGCTGTTGTTCGTAGCATAACCAGCCAACAATGACAGCGCAAGAGTCGCTCCCAAAGTAGAGGCACGATTAGCTCCAGAATGCGGATTTGGACAAAAAGACGGGTTCATCTGTGCGTGCTGCTGTCATTCGCATCAAGGCATGGTGGCAGCATTTACCTGCACCGGTAGGCACTTTACATTTACCGTGGAGTTTGTCGTTGTGTGATTTGTCAAAGCCCGCGGGATTTTATTCCATTCATTCTTCATTTATTCATTCGTGTGCTGCGACTTATTACATGCCATGCATGGGATGATTCATGATAATCCCACGCGGGATTTTATTGTGAACCTCAAAATTGATCGGCAAGACGGGAGACGTATGGGCGTTTCTAGCTCTTCCTTAGTCTCAATTTCAAATTCCGTCGCGCAAGAAAGTTGACGAAGAGGACGGAAGATTTGGAGGAGACATTGTTCGCAATGGGAGCTTGTGGGATGATGGAGACAATAGAAGGGGCTTAGCCTCACCACTGTCTCTCATTTTCACCATAGCTCGGTACCTGGTACCCCATTTGGTCCGGGTTGTTTTGACTGTCCTTTTCGAATCCTATGATTCGACGCCGTTGCAAACCAGTCACTAACTTAGTACCTCGCGACCGTTCCAAACCTACTCACTTCTCGTATGTGGCATCAGGCTTTGCCACAGTTTCCATGGTAGCATGCGATTTCTCTAGACAAAGACTACATCATGCGATTCAAGACCAGGAGTGGAGGCGGCGCCGGGTAATCTTCAATTACGGTACCAGGTACTGCACGCAGTGCGGGTGAGAGAGAACAAATATTTGATTAGGGGGCGTTTTTGACCGATCGGGAATCGGGGGATAGCCCTGTCTACGCCCTATATATCCCCAATTTTTCGCATCATCATATATATCGGTGGCAATGACAGCGCACCGCACGACGACTATAAAGTATAATGTCGAAATCTTTTGGGTTTCACAAAATCCCGCGTGGGATTATCATGAATCCCATGCATGCATGTATGTCGCAGCACACGAATGAATAACTGAAGAATGAATGGAATGAAATCCCGCGGGCTTTGACAAATCACATATGTAACAACAAACTCCACGGTAAATGTCTACCGGAACTGGTAAATGCTGCCACCATGCCTTTTTTGTGTGAATGTCAGCAGCACACAGATGAACCCGAGTCAAGGTTTTGCGCTTCAGTAGCAATCCTACACCAACTCTACACGAATGTCGTCGGAATGTCTCATTTTCTCCTCCTCACAATAATTCATTTGTTTGGGAAGACCAACTTCATTGACCCGAGCAAGTTTGCAAGAATCATGGACCACCCTTACCACCATGGGAGTAAAGACCAGAGAAACGCCTTCGATGAGCTCGAGCTGAAGGACGACCCCGAGATTGAGGCAATTGAGAGCAACGTGAATCTGGAGATGGAGGGGTTGCGCAGGGCAATTGCGGGTTGCAAGTCGAGAGGACGAAAATATCAACAAAGCAAGAATGCTGCAATGGAACGACATGCCAGCCTGACCGACGAAATGCAACGTTACAGCAGGGACTTCCAGGTCTACCTTTTGCGTACGAAACGCATGTTGGCCCTCATAGAAGACAACGTTGGGGAGCTTGACAGCGATCTCCGAATCAATCAGAACGAAATATCTGAGTTGCGAAACGCTTCGGAAGCAAAGCGCCAGTTGTCCGATGCCATTGACGTCATGAGGTGAGTACCTTGCTTTACATTTTGTTTGCGATTCTTCTGCCATCAGGTTAGCTCATTCTTGATCCGCGAGATGACCAATTAGGAGAGGACGTTTGTATTCAAACATGAGCGAAGATCCGCCTGCTGCTATTCACCGTCTCCAGTACCAAGATGATGCTGGCCGTAAGCAAGCTCCCAATGGAGACAACTGGGGCAACCCCGGTGCTGCTTAAAAGAGCAATCCGTAGCTCCGATTGTTCTCTGATTCAATTTCATTTCTTTGAATTAGAAATCAAGCATCATCACTCTTTGTGGATTTCTGTCGTCAATCATGTCACATCACAGTATAAAATGATAGAATCTTTATTTTATTGCACTATTAGGCTATATCTGTAGTGCTGGCACTATACCGTCTCCCACGGATTTTCAATCGGGTGCAGCGGAATTCTCTGCTTCTATCGTCTTTGATGCTATCATTTATGGTTGATGTTGCTGGTAGCTCAAAATCAAATTCATCAATCCCAAGGACTAATTCTGTATCGCTATGCGAATGCGACAGTTTTCTCGGTACTGTTGGTGTAGTTCTCGTCCGTGATACCGAGGGTGAAAGCTTTCATTTGCATGGTTGGGGGGATGAAGGCACATCGAGATACAATATTCAAGGCGAGATAGGGAATCAATTGGGTAATAGCAAAGGACGGACTCTATTCTTGGGCAATCGTAATTCCGAGAATTGACTGCTGGCTTGACGACTTGACGAGCCAATGATCAACACAACAATGCTAGAAAGTTCGGAGAAGCTTGAACAGCCAGTAGGTGGAATGACATGCATGTGGGAGCCCTTGAGCGCCGGTACACGAGTAATGTTGCTCTTCGTAATATTCGTGGGCAGATATAATACCTGGTACACAATTGTGATGGAATGGATGAATGAACATAGTTAACAGCAGAATATATGACAACCGACTGGAGCAACTTATTAACTTCTCTTTCATGTCATCGAAGTAAATCCAGTGCGTATCAATCGATCTTACCTTTGGAATTTCATGCATGCACTACCCATCCAATCCCTTCTTGCTTTGCCTATATAGTGCTCTGGCGGGTTTCCAAACTTGCTTGGTAGACACTTGTATCCAACAAATCCACGGCATTGGACGCCATTTCCACGTGACAAGGCTCTCATTATCTTATTCCAAGCGCTATACAGCTATGTCGGACGATTGCTATCAAAATTCCATCTGTGAATGGGCATCAATGGCAACCGATCTTAGAAAACTGTCAATCTCTCTGTTCAGAAATCGCGACCATGACATGGTTCTATCTTGGCCAAGACGTGGAAGATTCTGCTCGGACCACCACCAATAGCTCGTCACAATATAGTAGAATAATTTTGTCCCGTAGTAGTGTTGGCTTCTGTTGACTTGTGACACACAGTGACGCTCAGACCGATTCTTCGCGGCGTTGAGTTAGACTTCCAAAGCATAATCGGTCAGTTCTCGATGAATGTTGATTCAGTAGTTCACAGACCAATTCAAATAGTTTTCCAAGACATTGCTATTCTTAGGCGAGTGAATTTTGATTTGCTCCCTGGTTGCTGGGGCATAGAGCTTCATAACCAAAATCCATTGTCCTTGTTTCCTGACAGTCCTAAATATTTTAAACATCATATAGTACCGGTATGTTGCGCGCGCGGTCAGACACCAGTTTCCCTATCTCTTATCCTCCAAAATGCTAGAATGAATCATGCTTTCAATCAATTTCAATTCAATCGTGTCAATGCACCGGTATACGGGGAATGATGCTCTTAGGAAGCCACATCTCTGGCGACTACGACATCATAACAATTGAAGCATCGATCACCAGTTCGAGTATTGGCCGTCGCAAGTTCCTCAAACTCCTGCAAAATGACCCAAGAATCTGGAGGTCTATCATTTTCCATCCATTCGACTGTACCGGTAGAAGACCACCCCAACCAAGTTCCCCGGGGTTTTTGTAGATTCTCAATGCCGCGGTGAAAAAAGCCTAAGCATTCAGCACTCAGTGTTCGAGGACGAAACAGTGTCCTCCTGCCTGTCTGTAGGTATTTTGGCCCATGATGGCATTCAGGAGCTTGTGTTTCACAATGCTCAAAACATGCGAGGGGATGATGCTAACCTGTTGGTTGAAGCCATGGCCAATACCAGATGCATGATGATGAGCCAAGGATGGATGAGCGATGCATTATTACTGAATGATAGTGGAGGAACTAAATAAGTGCATATTTTCATACTGATGATAATCGCCTACACAAGTACCTACGGGAAAGCGTCCGATATCCACTTTTTTATACGGACATCAAGTGCGTGTGCTTTTTGACTGTTCGAGTATATACTCAATACAGCCATCATGATATGCATATAATTTTCATCTACAGTACTGTCACCTAATATCATCAATGAAACCATGGTAAATGGTGAAGTTATTGCATCCATCATGGATGATTCATTATCGAAAAGACACTTGATCCAAGAACACTGCCGACTTTGGAATTGCTTCCTTACGCCATTCCAACTAGCTAACGAAATGTGAAAGTCGTTTCTTGTACCAATCGTGAGCGTGTTTCCACGATGCAAACTTGCACCCTTGCCATTGCGACATTCGCAATGCAAAAGCTCATAGAACAAAGTTCCAAGCTTTCTTTTTCATATATCTTTCTTACAAGCAAACTTATTCTTCACATAACACCAAACACAAAACAAACATGACCGTCAAGGCGAGCAACGACAAGCACTTCAGAGCCGAAACAGAGCCAAGTTCACTTGTCCTCTGAACGCTGGTCCTTTTGTGTACAACTCATTTCCAGCTGCCAGAGATGTCAGTTCGGAATCTGATTGTCGGGATGCTATTGCTGGAGACAACATTGAAGCTGAGATGATGGAGACTTATACCTTGCCCTCCATCCTTCTTTGGGAATCGTCGCAAGTAGCAAGGCGGATCTGTCTGTGGCCGAGCTTGCTAAACGATTCTCCTGTCTTTCTGTTGACTGCAATGACATGGAAGTTGACCAAGACGAAATGGAACATTGATCTACCTTCAATTGACTGGATGCAAGTCGATATTGATGAAACGGAAGTCGATCTACCTTCAATTGACTGGATGGACGTAGACGATGACGATATGGATGTCGATGGTCCATATTAGATCTTCGACAATGGGAATGAATGCCAACATTCCCACTCTGTGTAGCGATTATTACCGAGGACTTGTCGAGAGTGGCATTTTGTAAAAAGAGATAATGCCCAAGGCAAGCATGATAGCTGTTGTTGTATCGGTGTCTTGGCGAGTCTCAAACCGAGAAGCGCCCCCGATACTACTAAGTAGTAGTTACTCTATTTGGGCAACTTGATTGTTGAATCATTTGAAAGTTGCCCAACCACGAAGCATATACCCCGCATACGGCACAATCCCTTCATTCGGCGGCGTCGGTCAAGAATCATCCACAGAACAAAAAGAGGAACCTTCGAGATCCTCTTTTCATGAAAATTCTTCCATACAACTTTGATTGGAAAGAAATTCCATGACAATAAGGAGGAGCTCACGAGATCTCCGAAACGCATCATTAAAAAAACAAAACAAAAAAAAACAAAAAAATTGATTGGAAACAAATTCCAATTCAAAGAGGGACTTTCGAGATCCCAAGAACCACAAAGAACAACAAAACAAATTGAATGAATGAATGTATGCATCGATGCAACTTTGACTAAAAAAGAAATTCAAAGACAAACTAAAATGAAGATGCATCAACCCAACTTCGAATGGGACAATTCGAAGAGATAATATTATTAGAAAATAAAGTATCAATAGATGCAAAATACCGTACATCAAGATCAGTCATTCCTTTTACATACAATCTATTATAGTATAGTACCCATTGGTGATATTCGCTATTTTGATTCGGTGTTAACATCACTAGCTTTGTTAGCGTTATACAGAACTTGATGGCGATGTCTCAGTATATTGAGATGACGATACGCCTACTATATTCACTTGGCGAAATATTCGCTCAGACGAGGTTGCGGTGCCCCTTCCCATTCGATACTATATCTTCAACTGACTGCTAATCCTCTGAAGCCCTCGGTCCATGAAGTCACTCCTCGGAAAACTCTCCAATTGGGAATATCGATAAGGCTTTTTACTAGAATTTGTCGCCTCGCTCTCTTGCGGGGAGGGGGCTATAGCAACATGTTCGACGGACAGGAAGATATATTTTTCTACATCTTTGTCTAATTCTCCCATTATTCACAGAAGCGTCGCAATCCAATCCTTGAGACAATAGATAAGCAACATAGTCTCATTCCAATTCCAAAGTGGTATTCATGCCACCCGTTGTGGTAAACAGTGGAGACGCCATATTGGAAACAATCGTGAACCAGAGGATTGATATGAGCGTTTGGATGGTTCTTCAACCATCAAACGGGCAAAGTAGGAAAAATGTGAGACAGTTGTGCTCGACCTCTCAGCCGTCTGCTACGCGCATTTTCCAGTGGGGAACCGTCATTACCGCGATTCTCGCAGTAATAGTCCCATTCATCGTGTGCTTCACCATTTCTGTAATTCATGAAAGCGACTGTAATGCTGTGCAGCTCATCGTCCCATCAAATGCACGCGTGTCAAAATCATGCGTGTAACTTTATCATCCTCACACACGTCGTCCGCCTTCCTTGCTCTATCGCAGTTCTGCACCTCTTGCTCCCACTCTATACGTCTACACCCAGTTGTATCAATCTCACGTTTTTCCGACTCTGTGTATTTTATCGACACCTTCACCACGGACGTCGAGTTTGTGCGTATTTCCTGCTCGCACTCGTATCCCGTATATTTCCTAATCACGGTGTATCCCACTCTCAGCTGCATGTCGTTGGCCTCGACTGCCATGCACACATACGCCAGAAAAAGTATCTGAACTCTACCCAACCGACCGTATAGAAAGGTTTTGAAAGAAATGAAGAAGAAGAATTCCTTATTCCGGCGGCCCGAGGAATGCGAGGACCGCCGCACGTAAGAAGCTACGAGACTGGATGTGC